AAAAGGCCGCCTCGCGTCGAGTAAAAGTTTGTAAAGGCGGGAATGGTTTTTGCTGCTTTCGACTGTTTACAAAACGGAGCCGGCATCAAAAAACATTTTCAAATCTTAGTCAAGAAATAGACGAAATGGTTGTCAACAAAGACTTGGAAAACACTAACAAAGCTACAAAGACTGCTTTGGCTACGACTCTGATAGAATTCTGCAGAGAAACCAAGAGACAAACGGTGAATTTGGACAAATGTCACGTTAAATTTCTATTCAGGAACTCATTGACTGTTTCATTCATAAAGTTTTGCTAGTTTTTTGGCATTTATATATAATTTAAACGCTTAACATCTTGCTATTTTGTCGCGACGGTCAAATATTATATTTACAATAAAGTATTATTCATGATTATTGAGAATCATCTTGCAATGTGTTTTGATTTTTTTATTCACATAATTTACCAATATAACAAAGCACTTAATGACTGTTCCCTCGGGAAACGGTTAGTTTTTGTTTTCCCTCGAATCTCAATGTTTCCCTCGGTTTACCTCGGGAAACATTGAGATTCGAGGGAAAACAAAACTAACCGTTTCCCTTGGGAACAGTCATTAAGTGTATAATATTTAACACCGTAAAAAAGTAGGTGAAACAAAATACTGACGTTTAGGAGGTTGATGTTTCACCTTTCTTTAGAAACACCGACGCAGCTCACACTAGTTTACCGCTAGCTTCCACCAACCAACCAACCAGCTTGCTCAAAGTTGGTTTAGTGAACTAGCATGAAAGAATTGTAGACGAAACTCCGGGGAAATAAAAGAATGCATTAAGAGTATTTTTTGTTTCTCCGGAGCCTCTTCTGCAATTCTTTGTAGATGGTTAGGGGCTGTGCAATAATTACCAGGAGGGGGGGAGAAGTAAAACCAGAGGGGGTGGGGCAATACATAAAATTGATGGCAAGATTGGGGGGGCTGAAAGTAAAATTACCTGATTAACAGAGGGGGGCCTTAAGTTTCATTCAAAATTTTCATAATTTTCGATGTCTCTCAAAATGCTSGAAATCGCATTTCCAAGAGTTATTTCTTTCAAATTTTCTGGGGGAGGACCAGACTCCCTTAATACTCCCGCATTTGGCGTTCGTTAGACTCCCAGATCCAAAATTTATGTCGCGTCCCTGACATGTGCATAAAAAGTCCACGCTACGCGCCTGACTAATGGAAATCTAAATTCAAAGACTCGTTGATATGTGATTGAAATTTACCAAGATATGAATTTTTTTTTTTCAACTATTGATTATTTCAATTTTGCCACATAAATTGAGGATGTAGAAGCTGAAAAACATATTGATGATTTATTAGACATAACAAACACAAGTAATATCAAAGTCGTTTTTGACCATAAAAACGTTACATAAGCCTTTTTGGACCTTGAAAACCTTTGCCAGGAACAAAATTATTTAAAAGAAGGGTACGACATTTGATTGTCAGCTCCTCCTGAAAATTTTTGTATTTACACTTAGATCCAGATGAGTAAGCCACCTCTTGCATCTGGGTTCGTCTTTAGTGAATTTTGCGTTGCTACAGTTGACTCGACTCGCTTGTGCTTGTTTTATAGCTAACGTTAATAGTTGGGGTGGGGGGGTCGACGTTATTTCTAATATAGCAGAGGGGGTAAGAGCTATTTTCGTGTGCTTCGGAGGGGGGGTTCTGACTAATTTTCTGCTTGAGAAATCTGGTTTTACGCCGCCCCTGTCCTGGTGATTATTGCACAGTCCTTTACTCAACTCAAATACCTAAAGATGAAATAACAAAAATATCTAAAGACTAACTAACAGCTGGAAATTCCAAAAATCTTTGAATAAAATTACCAAAATTACCTCAAAACTGCCATGTGCTTCATGTCTAAGTTGAGTTACGATATTAATTTACATTATTTTTTTAAATTATGTAGCTGCAAGTGCTACAAAAAAGCTAAATACTCCATTTTTGTATTGAGAGCGAAAAAGCGCTGCTTCATTTGACAACAGATACCCTTAGGGCTATTGTGGTTGCAATATTTTCTCGTGCTCTCTTTTATTTTTGGTAAGTTGTTTACTCAGTTGTATAACTGCAGAAGACAATGAATTTCGGCGAATATGTAAAGAAGCTGTTTACTTACCAGCTCTTTTTTTGTTCGCAGTTCACTTTGCTCTCGGACTTCAAATGTGTGTAAACGTAATGCTTGACCAGCGGATTTACTTCAGATCGAATGGTACTCGTGAGATTAATTATCATGTTTGTGGCTGGCCCAGTGTTAAGAAGGGCGCTAAAAGCCACTATTCGTATTTCAGGACACATTTTTTTGTTTGAGAAAATTTGAAGAAGAGCCATCTGCGCCTGTAAATGAAATATTACAAAAGTATTAGGAAGTTSTCCTTTAGTAGCATTATGAGGTAGAATCATAGTTGAGGGCCGTACACTACTGTTGAAATTCAACAGTAGTGGCCCACAACTCTCATTACAAAAGTGTTTCAGCTTTTTTATCATTGAATTCCGAAATGTGAGTTGTCATGTTTTTGAACTATAATAATTGGGACAAAGAGAAAAATGTTGTTGTTCCATAGGCCGCCCAACTATTGCTTTAGAGACAAAAAAGAACGAATGCGCACACTTATGACAGACTAGTTTGTATTCCGCGAGGCACGGGATCGTGACGTAATACAACAGCTAGGTAATCCGCATTTGCTAAGAGCGCGCGCCGATAACATATACAGTCATAAGCGTGCACATTCGTTCTTTTTTGTCTCTAAAGCAATAGATGGGCGGCCTATGGTTGTTCATGCGGGATTCATGTTTAAAGCATATTGGTCAAGATTTGATCTGTTTATTTTTTACGACATATCTCAAACGCTTCTGCATTCTTAGGCATTATGGAAATCTCAGACAATTACCAAAAACAGGTCCACATGTCCTTCAAGTAAGGTGATGACAACGAAAGACAACGAAAATTTAAAAAGTAATTTGTTGAAAGAGAAAAAGAAAAGAGTGAAAAGGAAGAAAGACGTTTCAAACGTCTACTCGAAAACGACCAAAACATACATACTAATTTCAAAACAACAACAACAATAAAATAAGTCTCTCTAACCTTCAATAAATTAGCAGCATCGGCTTCTAAGGGCATGCGCCTTAGTGATTCAATGGCTGCTATCATAATAGCATTGTGGTCATTCCATTTAGTGAGAATGTCCAAGGMAAGTCTTAGGTGTGCTATCTGTCCTGCATTACCAATTGCTTTTAATGCGATTATCAACTTCTCGTTGTCTTTGATAACTTCCATATGGTGGTCTTGGCTATGGAGATTTTCAACGTATTTATTTTTGAGTTCCTGTGAAATACACACAATAAAGAAGAACATTTGACAAAATAAAGGACAAAGCATCACTTAATTATTAATGATAAAATTTACCGTATTTACTAGATTTTGTTGAAGTCTTGAAATAGTGTATTTTTGGTTAGTTAAAACTTTTTTTTTTAGCTGAACGTTTGGCAACCACGTCATTACATCGAGGAGGACAGACAGACGAATGCTATACCTGGATATAGGTCTGTGGGCAACTGGATYTTCCTCGGCAATAGTCCCTAACAAGGGATCCAAACGCTAGCCAGCATGTCGACGATACAGTCTCGTTCTTTACTTTAGGAGATTTACAGAGTTTCTGAAAACGGGAAAAATAACATATTTAAATTGATTAATCTAATAAAACTAATTAATTAATTAATTAATTAATTAATTAATTAATTAATTAATTAATTAATTAATTAATCTAATAAAACTAGAGTAATCTACTGTAAAAATTCTTCAAGTATTCTAAAACCACATACTCAAGAATTAATCGCATAGAACACCAAACTGTTAATGCCACGTGTGACTCGCTTGTGCTACGATGTCCGAGCTCTAGAAAGCAATTCGGTTTAAAGAGGGTCTCAATTGGGTGGTACGCATCACGACTCACGGCTAAAAATTTGGCDATTTCACGACTCACGACTAATTTTTTCGAATCACGGTTAACTAGATTAAGAAATTTTTGMRTTACGTTTGCATTACTTTTTCTTTTTTTCGTATGAATAGACTGCTTGACTTATTCTTACAGACATGGATTTTAATATAATAAATGCGACTATTTCCACGAAAAAATGCATGATTAATCATAAATTCATATACAAGAAAAATCCAAAAAGTGTTAGCAGGTATTGAGAACATAGTAGTGACATTGCTGCAGTCCGTGTCTGACATGGTCTGACATCGGAGTTTACGAGATTTCATTAASTGTCGCTTTTCGCGATGATGTATTCTATGCCGGGCTAAATGTGCATGGTATAAAATCAGGAAGTTTGCAGCGTATTCATATTATTATTTGACTCTAAACAAAATTATAGTATTTTAAAATCGAGCAGATTTAGTTTCTTGTCATACTTAGCTTGACGCAGGCACTAAATGAGTGGGAGTTTTAAAATGTACAAAACAAATCCCAAAAATACTATCTAAGAAAGAAAAAACCTTTTATAACTAATTATAGTATTTTAAAATCGATATCTTATCTAATTACAGAAAATTTCAGAATATATACAATGTCCGTACGAATAGAAAACATAACTCGGCCACTCTCTGTTTAAAAATTGATTCTCGGTTGCGAAATCGCCGCGCTGTGAAAACCTGGCGTTTAATGAAGAAAAGCCAATGAAAGCGCGCTTTAAAATATTACATTATAGAAATATATAGAAATAATAACTAAATGATTCTGGAGATATTGCAAACAATCATTAATGTAGGAATTAAGCTAATCAAAGACAACAACAAAAAGAAAAAAAAAGAAATATGAAAAAAGAAAAAAACTTGAGTGGTGGGATTCGAACCCATGACCATAAAATCGAAAAAGGGTTGGGACGATTCCCCCGAGACATTCTGAGAAGCTGAGGCGGCGAATCGATTTACATTCCGGTTAGAGATTTCGGCTCTTCCATGCTATCCCGATAATTGGTCCTAACTTCGCGCTAACTAAAAAGCCAGTGAGGGAGAAGCTATCCGGCCCCTAGACACTGATGGATAACCCCTTGCACTAACTAGGCAACTATCGAAAGTATACTGTCAAATTGGGGTAGTCTATTCGGTGAAAGTGCCAAGTGGTCTATTATTATGTAAATGAGTGTGGTCCAGTGGCGCAACGCGTTAAGGCACTGTTTGCAAATCCAATGTAGGTTTGACGGTATCTGGATCGATTCCCTGGACGAGACGTTTACTGATTGTGTATTTTCATTTCTATTTTATTTATTGTTTATCTTCTTTTTTTATTAATTTTTTTTTGCAGTTTTTTTGCAGAATTATTGTCATCTCTTGTGTTTGGAACTTTCCTGAGAACCGACTTTTTTTTACGAAGTGGCTATATGATCGGCTCCCACTCAAAGTCTTCGATGTACGATCCAGTAGAATTTTGAGGGGGTGGGGGTGGAAGAGTGAAAGATTTAGGGAAAACAATTCCTGAACGGACCGAGGAAAAATTGTGAAAAATCTCCACTGAAGCTTTTATTTGTTTAAATTTACATCGGAGTTGACTGTCCTTCTGAGGGACAAAACTGAATCACGGCTCACGCTATAAAAAAATATTCACGCYTCACGGCTAATTTTTTCGCATTTTCACGACTCACGGCTAATTTTTAGCCGTTTYACGGCTCGCGGCTAACCCCATTAAGACCCTCTTTAAAGGGCTACTTGGACGAAAATTGCGAAACATAAGAAAAGACTTGGAAATCATATAGAGCTATCCACATGGGTCAAATAATAATGAAGCAACAGATTTCAAGAAGATATTGATACAAATACTTAATAATTTGGACGAAAAGTACATATATATTTCTGACTTTGAGTTATTCATAGTTTCCATTTCAAGTGCACTGCATTGGACTGCACTGCACACGTGCTAAATACTAGCTAAAAACACTTTATGTAATATATACAATATGAGCGGGCGATCTGTATGAGGATTTAAAACAGCGAGCTGAAAGCGAGCTGTTTTAAACCTCATACAGATCGCGCGCGAATATTGTATATTACTTATGAAACGTTGAGGTAAACTAGCTCAGGTTTTAAAGAAACKTTTGAAAAAAAAATCAATCTGACCGAGAAAATCAGAGTTAAGTTTTATAAGAATTATTATTGGTTCATGAACAGAAACAAAATCTTCAATGTACGCTTTATTTTTCTTACCAATATATGATCCAACAACCCTTTATCAGGATCACCAACCACGCCCAGTCTGGATAACAGCTTAATGGCTCCTTGTTCTGTGATTTCCCCTTTCTCTATGCGCATGTGGATCTCAGCTCCTGAAGCTTCCGTCCCAAAGAATGGCAATGCGCTTTCAAGCCAAAATCTGATAAAAAAATATAATCACAAAAATTAAATGAAGCCCGAAGAGGGCATATAAGAAAGAAGAAAAGAGGGTTTGCAGACAAGCGTGTTCCACCATAATTTTTGTGTTTTGTCAATGTAAGTAACCCATTGATTGAGCATTTGTAAACGCAGTCTTCGACCTTGGCCTCCTGTGTTTTAAAAGCTTATTTTTGTCTTTTAAAGGAACACTCAAATCCTATTAAGCGTTCATAAAAATAATATGGCTGCCGATCTTTTGCCTTGATTCATGTACAAAATTAGATATCAAGTATTAAATAAACAATGCTATGCAAACCTGTAGTCTCCCTTGAAAAACCTGCCATAGATTGTAGCAAAGGTCGACGGCTTTGATCTCCATCGTAAATGAATAACTAGATGCAAATAGAGTTTTGGGACCTCAAAATCCATTAAATCGTAGGCTATCGTATCTTTCTTGGCCAGTTTGGTGAGCTTCTCAAGGATTCCTTTAATCTAAGTACAAGAATCATCGATTCTCGATTAGTTCTTGAAAAATAATAAAACACTGCACTTTCTAGCAAAGTTGCATGGGAAAGCATAAAAAACACAATATTGATTTATCTTTTCTCAAACCTCATCGATGTCATCCTGTGCATTTGGTATGAAGCTTGGCTTAGTCAAACCGTCAAAACTGAAGAGCAGGGAAGTCTTCGTTTTAGGTCTGTTCAGTTTACTTGTAATGAGTCTTGTGGTTACCTGTACAAATGATAGCTGTCTCCTAGAATCAGACAACATTCATAGTGACGTGAATCAGAACAGTGACAGCGCATAGGKGGTGGAGRTGTCTAAGCTATTTCCTATCCACCTAACTGTAAAACTATTTACAGAGACAAACGGCAATCAAATAAAAAATAAGAAACAAATGGCAATCAAATAAAATATAAGCAATGGTAGCTGGCTGTTTTTTTCCGTATAAAGAAGAAGACGACGACAAATAAGACGACAACGAAGAAGACAAAGAGGAACAAGAAAAAGAAGAAGAAGAAGAAAAAGAAGAAGAAGAAGAAGAAGAAGAAGAAGAAGACGAAGAAGAAGAAGAAAAAGAAGAAGAAAAAGAAGAAGAAAAAAAAGAAGAAGAAGAAGAATGCAATTACTTACTCGGCATGGACAATAAAGGGAGTACTAGCTTTATTCTTTGCAAATGAATTTAATTCATGTCTTTCACGGGAATGGCAAGAATGTATGAATGGCTCCTTTTGTCGTCCTTTACCATCGTCATATTTATAGATAATGCATGACATCTTCATCCGGGACTTCAAGAATGGATTCTAAAGAGAAAATGTGTGAAAACTCCAATGTTAATGCAATTATCAATGTACAGCATGGGCCCAAGCAAGTTCGTTACAAAAAAAGAATAGATAAAGTGATGCGTGAAGTGRTCTAAGGGACGTGATCCGTGTTGCTGCAATAGCCGATTTGCGAACATTGCCTCAGTAGTCAGTCACAAAAAAAACAAGACGAGGTGCCGTGCTTAAAGCTCAGTCAATCGTGAAAAAATAATTGTCTTCGYTTGTGCCTACTCAGGAAAAATTCTTCGGGTATTTTATAGCTTAAGAAAAAATATTGCTTCTTCCAATCCTTGTAAATGCCTATATATATACAAAAAAACATACCTTGCTTTTGTCTGAACAAATGATAGGATCGACATTGCTGAACGAATGGGCTGGCCTGTACTTGCAGTCTGAATAATCGTTTGTCTTGGTAATGTTGTATTTATGGAGTGCCGCTAGCTTTCTTGATTTTAAAGGGCTTTTGTATGGCTCTTGAAATGTTTGTTTTTTGGTCACAGAGTACTTCATACGACATGTTCCTGTAGAATCGGTCTGCAATCAAAGTAGAGAGGATTAGTCATTTATTGATTAAACATCCATATAAARATAAATAGTGCCGGACACTGCTAACAAGACCAAATGCAATGAATTTAAATAKGGGTGTAGCGTAGCTAATTTTTGGAATTACGCRCGAATACCTGTGACTTCAGATATCGAATAAGGTTATGTTTTTCCTCGTTCGTTTTCTCCAAACTCACGGGCCGGGAACTCACGACATWGATCTTATTTTCTATTGTTATCACTAGACACGTTTAGTATTTATATAGTAGATGGCACGTCATTGAGAAACCAAAAGGTAGTGAGACTCCAGTGCARCCAAACATGAGCACTTTKTAAATAAAGCTTTGGTGGTCAATAGGCGAAGGGGCTTATTTAAGGAGCGCAATAAGTCTATGATTGGCAATGCATTCCAAAATCGACGGCTCTTTGACCATATTTGTCAACAGCAATCTCTGCGTACACGATGAAGGCTTACAGTCCGAAGCCGAACATTTGCATTTCGATAAGAAAAAATGAAGGGACRACAAAGACACTCACCACAAATTCTTAGATTCGTTGCTTACTTTAAATATTGCAAAAAAAGTGCTTACCTCCTCATTTTCATAATCAGTTGTAGATTCTAACYTCATCTGGAATAAAGAAGCGATAGACCTTTTGATGTTCAATACATCATCAGGCTCACGTCCTTCTGTGCGGAGATTAGTAATAGCCCCATTGTTCAGGATATCAAATACAATGGGTTTTTCCCAAACAGCTTTATCCTTTGCCGATAACAAGCTCCCTCTTGCTTTATTTGCCTTCTGAAAAAGCTTTGGATTTTCAAGCTGAAAATATAAGCAATGAAAGTCAAGTATATCAACAGTCAATTGTCAATSTGCAGCCACCGCATTTTCTTTAATAAGAAATAAAGACCTCGTACTTCATGTCGTTCTTACCTTCATAATGGTCCGCGTCTTGGTTTTAGTGCTATCTTTTTCTATCATAACTTGTGTTTCGATTTGTAAACCATCTGAGCGGTCAGGAAAGACTACATCTCCAGTGTAATTGTATTCGAAAATGTAACCAGTTTTCCCACGTCCTGTTTSAATCAAAATTGTAGATTACATTTAATCAATTCTTGGAAAACAAGCGAAGCAACACTGCGACACAATAGGCTTTTCCCAGGGTGTTTGGTCTCCCTTGATCCCTGGATAATTTTCAATGCTTCTCTTAATCTCTATAAAATTTCTCCCCAAATAATTTTTAGCTCGGCTGGGCTCCAGCCCCATAACGCTGACCAAAATTTTACTACAGGAACTCCAACACGCATTATTAGCGCTGTTAAGTCCATAAAGTGTAAAAGAAGAGTAAATTGGTGTAAAATCTCCATTAAAAGGTGTTTATGATTGATGTTTACTTAATTATCTTCTTCTCTCCCTTGATCCCCTAAAGGAATTTAATTCAATTTTCGAATGGAGTTTTTCAAATACTCGTTTCCAGACCCCTTTTGAATTTCGGGAAGGATGCTAGTCCCGTGAGAACGTTTCTTTTTTTTGTGTCAATGTAATATAGCTTTCAAAACAAACAAACATAAAAAAGGGTACAAAATATATGTAATGTTTATATATATAATATCAAAGAGGCCTCTTTGATATTATATATATAACTAGCTCTACACTTTATGTGTATTGAGCACTCTTTAATGGGATCAGCTACTTCTTCATACAATTATATAATGTTTATATAATTACTATAAAATAGTAATAATTACCGGGATAGTGACAGAAAGTCTCGTCGGAGCCGTCGGGRCAATCTGTGAAATCGTCACATTCCCAGGTGTTGGCCATGCAATGCGTTGAGCTCTGTCGAAATCCACAAGGAATATACTTCGTCAAGCCTTTCATTCCATCCGTGCAATTCAATCCTTTGAAAAAAAATATACATACACTTAATTGACTTTCTTATCGGAGATTATCAGGAGCGTAAATAATTTTTCATTCAAGATAGATCTAGTGAAAAAAATAAATAGAATAAAAAAATAAGATTTTGACATGTTCTAGGTTACGGCCAATGCGCCTCGCAATGTAATTACAAGTTCTCGTATTCATTGCTTCAAGTCTTTCTACAGTAGTTTGCCAGCGTCGAGCCAGCGAGTCGACAGAGCCTCTCGATTACTTGTCGGGAACTACAAATCTGCTAGCAGCAGTGAAGATCTCGWASGTTCATCTTTTAAAATTTGGCACAAATAGACAAACACTCCGTTGAAATKTTYKGTATTTTAAATTCAATTTTCACTGTATWACTTTATAGTGTTATATTAGCTGACGGCGCACAGTAAAGTTAAATAAAAAAAACCGAAGAAAAAATCTACCCTCTCCATTTCATACTTCACTTACCATTTGCTTGCTCCGACAAGAACACACCTACAGAAAGAAAAGGGAATGTCAGTAAAAGCAACATTAACGAAACATTAACAACAACAACAAAAAAATAAAATAAATAAAAAAACAACAGACAAACAGTGTCAACAACAAAACACATATAATCAAAACAACAGCAAAAAAGAGGAATTGATTGTACTCCACATCTGTTTTCCCCTCAGTCGTAGCTTCAYACTTACAGCGTCTGCGAAGCAGACTACCTACCAATTGAATGGAAATTTCATAAGTTTAATGTGGAGCCCTCCAAATGTCTTTTGACCATACCTCTCCTTTTTATTTCGGTTAAATRGCCTTGGCTTATAGCCATTTACAATCAGTTGCAGTCGAACTTCTGTTAAGCGGTCACCCACGGGACTTAGCCAATTTAATAGAGGTCGACCACTTGAGAGATATTTTACTTAATTAGATCAAATTTTGTGTACACACTTTCAAATAGTCTCCCGCTCGTGTCTTTGTCTTGAAGACTCTAAATTTTACAGAAAATGAACAAAAGAATGCACGAAATCAACATTTTATTACTCAGAACAAAAACGCATTCGTGTTCAAGATGGTAACCGCTGACTACAAGTCTCAAAGACGAAAACCATCGCTGAGGGCAATGTTGATTGTTTTGGGACAATGYTTTCCTAAAACTCTACAAGAGACTTCATAGTAAGCAAGCAATTACTAGTAAATATTACGAGAGAACTTTGATGAATGAACTTTCTATCAAGAATCACTTTWTCGAGAAAACTATTATACGGAGTGAACATGGTAAACTCATGTCCCATCTATCAGGGATCAGAGGGATTACAGCGATGTGTAAATCTTTATGGGATTTCGGAAGGCACGCCCTTTACGCGACTTAGAATAAAACGGTTCAAGTCCATAGCGACTTGATAAAGTAACGCATTCTTGCTTTTACTATGTGTCAAAAGTAAAAAAAACATTCTACGCAATAATTTACTTTCATATATAATCAATATATAATCATATGATAGAGACAGAATATTTCATCATAATCTTATCGCGTTTAATCTTTCACTTGTCCACCTATACGCGGACCCATGAAAATCTGGTCTTTCTCATTTTTTTAAAATAGCTAGACCGACTTCACGCTCTAAGAGGGTCTAGTTCTTTAGWAACATTAGAACTTTGATAAAGAGGAATTTTCAATAAATAACGTAACTACTGGGCCACACGATAACATTAACTCTACGCCTAGATGTAAATAGCTATCATTGAAGCTGATCGTACTATGCCATTTTCTAGGTCACCGCTTAATAATGGTGAAATGCAATGCAAGTTTACAGATTGGGACGTCTATAGGGTGACCGCGTTTGCTTTCCGTTTAGTGGTTCAAGCATTGCGTGACCAAAATAAAGTATTTTTCACTATTAATAGTATAGTTTTTGTTGAAAGTCAAGTTCTGCGAAGTTTGTCTGAAATACATTAAGCTGATCATGAAACTGGAACAGTTTTAGAAAGTCCAATGACAATCGAAATAGTGACCAAAGTACAAACTAGACGCTCTTAGAGCGTGATGTCGGGCAACCTATTCGAGACACTGTCAAAATGTCGCTTGTGAAAGTACCAGAAATAGCTATTTGGTTTAGCCAGAGCAAATTGTAACTAACTTTGGTTTAGCAAAGATTTGTAGCTCATTAATTCAAAATATGCAAAATTCCGCGAGATTTAAATGAATTTGACCTGAAAGCTAATGTAAACAATACATTGATCCTTGGGCACGTTTGTCAGTCGAACGCAAGGGGAGATCTTATACATTGTAACATAATCTTTACAAGTCGTATTATTACTAATGCGGTATATGATCGTTTAAAGTTCAGAGCTTAAAGTGCTTTATTACATTTCACTAGGCAGTATGAGGGACATGAAAAACCTGGAAATTCTGCGACGATTTAAAAGGTCTTTAATCTAAATGGTACTACWGTACATGTATTCATGGCCGTTGAGGAAATTTGTTTTCATGTAAACTTTCTTCAGAAAGGAAAAAAAAACATATGTTAATTATGGCTGAGCGTAGATACTTCAAATCTCTCTTCTTTTAGATCACTACCCAGGGTGCACTGCGRCACTCAATTCCCTAGACTACTGTTCCATGCCGTCATAATAGCAATTTATGACAATTTCGGCCCTCATCTTGACAAATTCATTTGGTTGTGTTGTTGAGAGTTAAAACAGAAACTATAGTCATCACGAGKTAGCAAGTCAGAACAAGCAGCAGTTCACCTTGACATTAATCATCATATTTCATCGTCGTCGAATACGTGATTGCAAGATTAACACCAGATATCACGAACATAGATATAGCTCAATTTACTTCGAACTATCAAGCAGGAAAGAAATAAAAAAATGAAATAATGAAAAATGAGTTTTAAAAAATATTTAAAAAAATACAGGAAAATGGAACTTTTTCCTTGCTGATGTCCGACAATGGGCCATTTAGAAATTTTGACAAACGTCAATTTGTGTTACATTAGCTTAAGCGTATATTTATACAAACTCCCATATCAGTAATGAGCGGATGAAGATTTGTAAATGAATTTGCTGTTCATGGTCACTTCCGCTCGGTGAAGAAGACTAAGGCCATGTTCACACGTGATAGCTTGTTTCTAGGTATAAGAGCCAAACTCTTTTGTTTCAAATCCTCAAGGGAAAAGACAACAAAAAACTTTGACTGTACTATCAAGAGGCACCTTATCTCATAAAAATGGCGACCAAATTAATTAATAATAAGCCCCCCAAACTCAGCATTGCCTGTGTCTGGAGACAGCGTTGTATTAAGCTGCTTATAAACGGTAAAAACCTAAATTTTTCAAGTTTATTGAATATTCAGTTTTTTCAAAGCTCAAAACAATATCTTAGTTGAATATAAGAAATTTAGGTAAATCACTCTTCCACTGTATGCTAAATGTATGAATAAGTAAAACTTAGTGTTCGCATTCTCGATCCATCCACCTCGCAGGTCGGTTAGTACTTCATGAAAGCAGTTTGATTCATTCAATCCGACAATAGTACTTAGAAACTCATATATTTCTTATAAAAATATTCTACCCGAAAGTATCTCGAGCACTTCCGATAAACCGAAGATTGGACGGAAAGTAACCGATGGTATAATCACGAGAACTACGGTCTTTGCTCGTGCGTTCGATTCCGTTCGTTGCCATGTTTGTTTGTTCGGAATGGCCGTTTGCAATCCTAAGCTGATGTCACTTCGGGACCCGATCGAGCAGAAAAGGGTGTGTGCGGGAGGTCTGGGTATTCAGCCTCGTATTCTTTTGTCTTTCATTTTATCTAAGATTTTTGTTCTTGCCTTTTTTTCTGTCAAATTCTATTTGCATGGATTTTTTTGAGTTTCAAAGCCTGATTTTCCTTTATCCCCTTGACTTTTCTGATGGCGAGAAACTTTTAGTTGTTCTGGTGTATTTCATTCCCCGACATACACTACGTGACACTTACCTTTCACGCATTGCGTGACACAAATAAAGATAAAGCTCTTCATGTGACATGATATCAAATACACGGAAGAACTTATCTTCAGATGCCAAGAGAGGTTAATAATACTGCAAGCATATCGTGGTACGAAGCAATACGTTTTCGCCGTAGCAATTTTGCGCTGAATAGTGCTTAATTATGCTAATTGAATTCTTTTATTCTATATTGGAGTGAAAATACCAAGCGCGAAAACTAAATAGTGCTAAAAAGCGATAGTAGTCCAGATATTTAGACAATAGAAAACAAAGGATTCTAATTAGCAAATTATTTTGTGGTTTTAGTAGAGTGATCGCACTTAAACCGTGCAGCTGTACAAATTAAATAGTGCTATTTTTAGTTATATCTAGTAAATCGTGGATGCAGTGCGCAAATTGAAATTGAATTGATACAAATGAAGCATTCAAAACCATCTTGCTTCATTTTAGTMCAAWTTAGTTCTACTGAAGTTTTGTASAGTTTCACAGTTTAAGTGCGATCACTCTATATGTRCTTTAYACGTTCACCCTTGTAGAGTGAACGCACTTAATCCGTGCAACTGTGCAAAATCTAAGTAGTTCTATTTTTTGTACTAAAAGTGGACCTGAAGCAAGACGGTATTGAATGCTTCATTTATATCAATTCAATTTAATTTGCGTAYYRMATGCACGATTTACTAAATACAMCTAAAYAKMACTATTTAGTTTGTACAGTTGCAYGGATTAAGTGCGWTCACTCTAACGTTTRCATATAACCTAATGTTATTTTGTGCAATTAGATAATTCTCTAAATATTGCACAATTCTAAGATGCTCTCCTTGAGTTTTAGTTCACGAATACAGCACTGACAGCTCAATAATAATTGTACAGCACGAAGCATCATCTGTACTTTACTAGCTTACTTATCTGGTGTCTATAGTTTAGTGATATTTACTGCAATAAAGTATTTCAATCTCAAGTCAAGGCACACTGTACGTCGTGATTTCTATTGTATTTTTAAGTTACGCCATTAAGTAGGGAATTGATCCATGAAAAATATATCTATATATAGTAACAATGAMCAAAATAGTGCATTCATTGTAGAGCATAAGGGAATAATGTCCTCTCTTTAACGTGTGATAAACCTTTCATTTGAGACATTATTGCGCGCACGAAAGATAAACTGTGCAAACCGAGAAGTGCGTTGCTCCTTGAATTTCATGACAGCCTATAAAAGGGAAATAAAATAATAATAATAGATTGATGAAGTCATTTACCTAACAATACAACAATTAGACGAGCATCCATCTTGCTTTACTTGACCACTAGTGGCAATGGCTGAGAGCTGAACGCCTCTGCTCTCTGATGACGATGTCGTCAAGTGACAAGATCTTGTAATTTTAGTATTATATTTATTGACAAGCGTAATTTTATATGGTTAGCGGTCGTCCAGGCATCATGCCATATTYAATTAGACTACAAGGTCAGAGTGGAAAACRATTTGATAGTCCACGAGGTCGTACTGTTGTTTTCGAATCCTTCAAATTACACGTCAAATTTGAAATGACTTGCATCTAGTTTCGACGTTTTTTCGTTTTTCAATTTTCAAAATATTGCATTTTGATAGTCCTTAGTTCGGTGGATACCAACGTCTAGCAGTTGCAGTGCAGATTTATAGAAATAGGCATCGACCATGTCCAAGCACGCTCTTTTACTTTTTCTAATCTACTATATTTCAAAAACCGAATAAACATTGCGGAACTCCAATAATAATAATAATAAAAAAAAAAACAACTGAGAAAATTTTCAAAAATCATTGCTGTAGATGCATATCTTCTGCCATTAAATGGGCAAATAAAAAGCTCTAGCAAATCTAATGATATATCCCCTTCAGGACCATTTCCACAGCTATTAAAAGACTTCAGTTGCTCGATCAACCACCAATTAACGTCAAGATGTCATTGACAAGCATCATACCGTTGGTCCTGGAATTTAATCTCTCCATGGAAACTCTTGTGCTGGGATTTTTGCCAAACATGTTTCTGGACGAGATTTAGTTTGGAGGTCGACCTTGCGCTGAAGGCCGCAATGGTTGTTTCCTTTTATTTTATTTTTTTCCTCTTAAGCGGAATTGCGACCTCGACTTATCAGGAGTGGGGGTGGGTGAAAATCCAAAGGGGGGGAAGGGCGTTTGGGAAATTCTAATCAGTTTGTGTGCTTAAAGAGGGGGGAAAGTAACGTCGAAAATTATCTAGAACTTTAATTGGAAACGAAAAAATAAACTTTGTCAGATTCGAAAACTTTTCAAGAAAAGCGTGCCACGATTTGAGACAGGGAGGGTGGCGTAATTGATTTCGTTTGTGAGGGGAGAGTGGGGGTAGTGATTAACTTTTTTTAACTTCATTTCTCTGCAGTCCCTTAGGGTGGGAGTGATCCTCGGAAATTTTAATAATGTCACCAGTTGAATGACAAATACTTTGACGGCTTTACTGATATTTTTCTTTGTTAGAGAGCTTAAAGCATTACGTTCACGGCAAACGGCAAACGGCAGAAAAGATCATGTGACCTGCTTTTTGGGGGGTTTACCGTTACAGTTTCGACGCGAGAGTGGGTTATTTTGGTGTTGTCATAATAGCGAAAAGCCGTTCTTTCTTTCAAATGACTACCAAAAGCACTAGGTCAGGCACGAAATTCTTAGGTCATTGGTTCAGCTCTGCCGTTAGCCGTTTGCTAATAATAATAATAATAACAATCTTTTATTAGGAAAAACTATCACATAAGTGTGGTTTTCATAGAATTCCTAAATTTCCTTCATGCTTAAACTCTCTATTATCTCCACAACAAACGGCAAGAAACTATGACAAGAAACAATTGTAACTCGATTACAACTTTTGCAGGCTTTTTCCAATATTATAAGATCATCACCAGGCGGCGTTGGAAACACCACGAAAAGAATCCTGGGTAAAAAGTTAGTTGTGACTTCATTGTAACTGGACTTTGAGCTATGAAGAACTCTGTCGAAGTTGCTTAAAATAAAAGCAAAATCTGAGGAAAACTTACTAGAAAGTATCCTGAAAAAAGGGAAAAGATAAAAAACGAATTCAGTAGTATTGCCAAAAAAGTAGGCTAGAACGCTAAAGCACTTTTGAAAAGATCGAATTTTTGGAGCAATTGTGAGAAAACTAATTTAATTTTATTAAAAGAAAGCACAAACATACCTTACCACAGTCTCCGAAAAGACATGTTGATCACATCCGCCAAACAAATGACACTAATGTTTTGGAATTCCAAAGAAAAATCCTTTGTTTGACAAACACGGCTAAAAAACCGCTGATTGGCTAATATTTAAGTTTTACATTCCACTGAGTGTACGCAGAATGATTTCCGCTGATTTTATCGCGGTCGCTGCCATCTTTATTTACAAAAATGGCGGCGAAGGCTTTTGATTTTGGATGGGATTGAGGTTTAAAATAGACGATCATGGATCGCTTACGTGGGCTTCTGTAGCTGCGACAATGGGTCAGCTGCCGCCATTGAGCTATAAGTATTTCATTTTCACGAGTCTTTGTTTGAAATAAGTCAAGACCGAATAGACTTCTGAACCTTTTACGTCACAGCTACTTGATTTTCAATGCATAATTGTGGGATCAGTTTCCATATCAAAGAATTGCCCCACAAAAGTTATCCTTCGTTTAGCAGCCATATATGGTAATCTTACCTTATTTGGAAGTTCGATAGGAATGGTTTGTCGATTTTCTCGACTTTTAAAGCTTGAAATCGTCGGAAACTTGCAGATATTATAGCGAAAACACTTCTAAACAATCCGCCATTTTGTTTGTTTCCATATATGGCATGGATTCGCTAAAGGAAGCCCAAAACTAAAAAGCACAGGGAACCCGCACGAATGATATACGAAAATTTTAGACGTTGTCCCCCTCTTTAAGCAATATAATTAGATTTGGTCCCCCCTTCCTCCTCAGGATTTTCAACCCCCTCCCCACTTTAAATATCGCACAGTCCCTAATAATCATCATTTTCAGATCTAGTTGAACTCTCATGGCCGTTCTTCAAAAAGAGGGTTTTCTTCTAATCACTCCCTTTGCGAGATAAGACCGATTCTATTCATTCCTCCGACCCAAGCTCTTTCGGAGCGGCTAGGAACGCCTGGCTACGCAGGCTACATAAAACGACACAACATATTCTTCATTACAGTTTATTTATTTTTTAATAATTCGCACTTTCATATTTATCTATCATAATGGCTTGATAACCAATGGTTTTCGTTGATGTTAGTTTAGTTTCTTTAGGTTTTTATTTCTTCTTCCCAGTCAAATCACCTGAAACAAGTATAGCAGCNAAATTATCTAGAGCTTTAATTGGAAACGAAAAATTCAATGTTGTCAGATTCGAAAACTTCTAAAGAAAAGCGTGCCACGATTTGCGCCAGGGAGGGTGGCGTAATTTATTTCGTTTGTGAGGGGAGAGTGCGAGATTAACTTTTTTTAACTTCATTTCTCCACCCCCTCTCTTGATAAATATTGCGCAATCCCTTAGGGTGGGAGTGATCCTCGGAAATTTTAATAATGTCACCAGTTGAATGACAAACACTTTGCGGCTTCAATGATATATCATTCCTTTATTAGAGAGCTTAGGGACTGTCTATTTGATTTTTGTAAAAAAAATTGAGCAAGTTAAGTTAATTTCATTACAAGAAAGCACAAACATACCTTACCACAGTCTCCGAAACGACATGTTGATCATATCCGCCAAACAAATGACACTTATGTTTTGCATTCCAAAGAACAATCCTTTGTTTGATAGACGGCTAAAAAAAAACGGTGATTGGCTAATATTTAAGTTTTACATTCCACTGAGTGTGCGCAGATTTCCAGTGGGATTGAGGCTAAAACTAGACGATCATGGATCGCTTACGTGGGCTTCTGTAGCTGCGACAATGGGTCAGCTGCCGCCATTGAGTCATAAGTAATTCATTTTCACGAGTCTTTGCTTGAAATAAGTCAAGACCGAATTAAGTTAATATAATGAGCTTTCACAGGAAGTCCAAGTAATGAGTTTTCCATTCGTGACCTTCCATATATGGTTATCCTCATGGGAAATTACGACGCGAAATACACACGTGTCGCCATGGTAAAATGAAACTGTATTCTGATGTATAGACGGAAAGGTCGATTTCAAGGCGAAATAAGCACGGGCATGGTTTTCTTTCAGACAGGTCTACCTTTCAAGATGAAGGATTCATAGAAATTACTCTTATTTACAATTACAATGATTATACTGTTAAAATTCCACAAGGAGTTGACCGAATGACAATTTGTAGTGAAATCAAAAGGCAAACTGGAGTCAAAGGAGCTTTTTATTTTTTCGATTTTGACAAGTTTTACCTACACTCGTCGATTTTAACGCTGTTCAATATCAACAAAGTGTTGGCTGGGAAACTTGAAGTCCGAGGTGGCGATTGTAATTCTAGTAGAATGTTGGTTTATATAGTTAACAGAGCTCCACATATGCTGCATCAAACTGAACACGCGAGAGCTACACGTAGCGCTGGTAAAGAATCTAAAGTAGAAAAACAATAATTATTCTTTAATGCAAAGTTTCGGTTACATTTTGTGGCAATTGAGGAATCCTTTTCCATTTTGCTTTTTGCGCACTTCATGCAATGCCTAGTGTGTCTTGCCCTTGAGTAGAGCACATTAGTCCCAACATTACAGCATTATTTATGTCACGACTCTGATTTGTAATTTTTCAAAATAGTTATCAAGTCTTTTGCATCAAAGCAAGTTGTTTAACTGTAGATCTTATAGTGAATAACGGCTGGAAGAGAAGGTGGGATGTGGACTGCTGGAGTAGCGGCCAAAAGAGAATATTGTAGCAGCCAATGCTTAGTCGAATCTTGATAATTGCTCTAATTATTCAGGTATGAGCAAGGGTGGAGATTCTGTATTATAGCCAAACACTAATACCTGAAGTAAAGCAACAACTATAGAAAAGAGACAGTTTGTGCCAAGTGACCAGCCTCCATCAAACGCTGCGTACTTTGCTTGTTGAGAGTGACAGCTGAAGACTGGATAATACTGATGCATAAGCTTTTGCAGTTTGTGGGCATGAATCAATGACTGTTAAAGTAATGAGGAAGAAAGTGACCATGGGAACAAGAGGGCAAGGACCCACCAAACGTATTATATTAGTTTTACCACTCCCACTTTTAATCACTATTAATTTATCACTATTAATTTATCCTCGTGTTAAATTATTAATACAGATTGAAAATTTTGTTCTTTGTTTATAGGAATTGACTTTATTGATGACACTGGCTGGAATGGAACTTTGGAATATTTACCTCCGCAAAAACGATTCTCTAAACTAGATGTTTTAAAGCTGTAGTTTTTTGAGTTTTTATTCCACAAAAAAATATTATCAGTGAGTTTCATTGGACTAGTCTATCGGCAATCATGAGGTGCAATACTGCAAGCAGAGTCATACCAACGTGTGCAGAATCAAGGATCACAGCTATTTCTTTGGGATTGGAATCAAACCTTCTTCGGATCAGGGATCAGCTACAATAAACAAAAAGGGATCATCAACAAAAATATACTAAATTGTCACCCTACAATAGTTTTATCCTCAAATGATTAGCGACTTTTTATCGGAGGAGAGGGGGTTAAGAAATGAGCCAAAAGACTTGTCGCAAATCGTGGCACGCTTCTCTTGAGAAGTTTTCGAATCTGACACAGTTGATTTTTCAGTTTCCAATTAAAGTTCTAGAAAATTTTAGACGTTGTCCCCCTCTTTAAGCAATATAATTAGATTTGGTCCCCCTTCCTCCTCAGGATTTTCAACCACTTCCCCACTTTAAATATCGCACAGTCCCTAATAATCATCATTTTTCAGATCTAGTTGAACTCTCATGGCCGTTTATTATTCAAAAAGAGGGTTTTCTTCTAATCACTACCCCGAGATAAGACCGTTTCTCTTCATTTCTCCGGCCCAAACTCTTTCGGAGCGGCTAGGAACGCCTGGCTACGCAGGCTACATAAAACGACACAACATATTCTTCATTACAGTTTATTTATTTTTTAATAATTCGCACTTTCATATTTATCTATCATAATGGCTTGATAACCAATGGTTTTCGTTGATGTTAGTTTAGTTTCTTTAGGTTTTTATTTCTTCTTCCCAGTCAAATCACCTGAAACAAGTATAGCAGCATTGCTATCAACAGCTAAATCATTTATYATTAATTTTTCTAAAATATTTAGGATACTACGCGCGCTGTGATTGGTCGAAAACCATGTTTGATTACAGTATCAAAACACGCTCGCGCACGTCAAAAATTTCTTTTTTTCTTTTAATTTTAGAAAAGAAATAAAAGACGAAATTCCGTGTTTGATACTCTGATCAAAACACTTGGGATGTAGGGAGAGCACTCGAAAAGCTGGAAACCACTCCGCTACGCGTCGTGGTTTCCTACGCTTCTCTCGTGCTCTCCCTACATCCCGCGTGTTTTGATCAGAGTATCAAACACGGAATTTCGTCTTTTATTCCTTAAATTATGTCAGCAGCACTGGTCGGTCATTCCCACTAGATACTGTTGAAATGCGTTGACTGTTGAAATGTTGACATTGTGAATGAGAAAARCCTATGCTCTTACCTCTTCTGGACCCAAGCAGCAACACTTCTCATTCGACGATTGGCATGTTAAATCACAATTCACCTTACCAGGAGGACAATTTGAACCGCTGGCATGACACCACGAAATGTTATTGTCCGGTTTACCGCATCCTAAAATAATACCAATGCAAATAAATGATATGACTTTTTTTTCATTATAATAATTTGCTAAGAAATTTTATATTTTCAACAGCTACTTTGAGAATAATCTCCTGAAATTATAGCAACGTTAATCATGTGATTTCGTATAACATCGCACCCCCTTTTTGACATTAATTACTAAACTATGTAATTACATATACATGATCAGCACTAGTCGCATATCTATTAAGGGAGGCATAGGATTATTGAAAAACCCTCATTTTTTGGTAAAAATATGCTGTAATTCATTTTATCGACTGCATTGACTGCTAACATTTTTGACGGCTGACAGGTAAAATTTGTCCACAAATACATACGAATATTCGGCAAATGATTCTCCTTCGTTCCATTGCAATATCAGCAAGTAAATAGAAACAACTTTTAAAATAAAATTTACAAATTTGATTCCTTTTTTTTACTCAAATATGTTAATTACAGCTATCTTCTCTACACAATCGCAAAATAATAGCGCTGGTGGATTGTATGTGCTGAAATGATAAATAAATTATTTTATCATAAACTTGATATTTTGTTATAGAATAAAATAAGGAACAAGTAGGGCAGAAGAGAGAATTAGAAGAGACATTGGCAGTCTTGACGCTAATTAGAGCAAATGTTCAAGTTTACGGCAGTGATATGAAGCCCTAGAAAATGGGAAACATGGAAAACTCGCCCTGAAAACACCTTTTCAGTCAAATTAATGCATTTCGGTCAGGAGCTACACTATTTTCATTAATCTGCAGAACTWTAGGTTAGTACATGGATGATAAAAAAAGTCTTACTCTCATGCCGTACTTTTTTTTCGATCAGGTTACACTCGACGTACAAGACCACCACCAAAACCAAGAAACACAGATGAAACTTCATGGCTGGGTCGAATACCACTAAAAAGAACAAACAAAAATACCTTATTGCGATAGCAATTCTCGTGACAGTATTAATGTCAGAAGACTATGTGAGCGGTCTTTTGGATTCTAGTGACAATAATTAGTTGTAGACTCCTTCTCAGGCAACTCTACTCTGTGGGATTCCTGTGTTAAGGCAATTGTTGCTAATCTCTCGACATCTGTTCTGCTCGGCCAAGATTTTGAACACAGGAAGACCAAGAAGAGAAAAATGTCCGTTTCCGATGGAGTAGCCTGCGAAGGAGGCTAAATTACAATGGAAAAAATCGCGCGCTTTAAACTGTTGCAAATTTGATGTAAATATAATGTAAGTGTCCAAAATTCTGTAAATTTGATGTAAATGATTTCCATTAAATTTACAGAATTTTGGACAGTTAAATCTACATCAAATTTACAACCTTTAAAACGCGCGATTTTTTCCAGTGTTAGTTGTAGATATTACAGTATTTCTGATCCTATCAGAACGAAATGAACTTATTTATCTCATCAAGAGTATTCAATTCACCGATCAAAATAAATTATGGATTCTTGTCTTGATATGGGACGACGGAGAAAAGCCACGTCTACACTAAGAGACATGAACAAGTGGCACAAGGGGGAGATCCGAAGACTAATTGCCTGAACTTACCTTTTTGACTTCCTGTCTCGGCCACAAGTAGATTCAACGTATAGATCTAGGTTGAACATTTAGGTATTTTATACCTTTTGGTGGAATATTTCGTCAAACTAGTTTTACTGGTTACTTAGTCTAATGAATAGTGAGCGATTTTTCAGCCATTTGATTGGCAACTGAAGAGTGAGTTGAATACGGGAGGAGTCTTTTTAACTTACAAGCAGTGACAATTTCTCTTCAACTCTCCCCGATCAGTATATAAGGCTACTTAGTTTTAGACATTTGACTGGTAACGAGAAAACTGAAAAATGCTGGGGAAATATATCATTGAAGCTTTCGCGGCTACCACACAAAATAATTTTTGTCTTCCCGAAAAGATTGGGCTGGGTTAAAACCCTAAACTGATTGCTTCTGTTTCCGTTTTGGTACATTTTGTACCCGTTAGAAAGTTAAATTCGTCTGATTTATAAATTGACTACAACGACACGGAAAACATCACAGAAACATTGTCCAGAAAAAGAACTTTTGCTATTTAGGAATTAATTAAATTACAAAAGAAAGTGTTCAGCTTTAGTGGTCATATTTTGTCTTTTAATGTATTCCTAATTTCCTAAATCTCTAATTCTAGGGACGTTTTTGTAAAAGCGTGTCCTTTCAGTAACAAATGGTGGTAACACTAATATCGTCATCTCGTTGTTGTCTGGGGTAACGAGAATGCAGGCGCGTAACGTGGCTAGTATACGCACATGATAGGGATCCGCTACACATGTAATGGATTGGGGGGACTAACGACCGCCAAAGCGGGATTATTAAGGGGAACTTTTGAAATAATAACTCTTTGAAATGCGATTTCCAGCGTTTTGAAGGGCATCGAGAGCATATAAAAGGCATCTCCAAATCTCGAAAATTTTAATATTTCCTTGGCACTTGACGCGGGAGATATCCTTTCAGAAAGCATTGATCGAAAGTAACACGAACATCGTCGTCTGGTTGTCCGGGGTTACGAAATTAGGGACGGTGTCAAGTACATCAGCGGATTCTACTCTTCGCTGGCCTTGATTTAAATGAATATTTACATCTAGCTGTGGAAAAGTTCATCTAAAGAAATAAAACTTCCTTAAAAGTTGTCGACGGGTACTATATGTGGTCCAATTGTCAAATTTCCGTTTTTTCTTTAAAAAAGAATGAATAATTTTTCTTCTACCCACTATCCATTGCGAGCTAAGATAGATTCTCTTTTATCCATCCGCTCTATCAGAATAAAACAACACAACACGTTTACTCGTTGGAGTTTATTCTTTTGATTTAATAATATTTCCCATATTTTTATTATCGATTATAATTTGACGTGATAACTATGGCTCTCATTTGATTAGTTTTAGTTTCTTTAGGTTTTTATTTCTTCTTCCCAGTCAATCAGAGGTGGGGATACTGAAACTAGATAAACAGCATATTTATGTTTGCTATTAATAATGATAATTGAACTGAGTGGAGTGCAATTTGGTTCGAAATCAAACGCGTGATTCAAAATCTGTAATCACAATTTTCTCATTTGCTTCAAATTATCACGAATATCATATTTAATAAATTTTCAGTCTATTCTTTTTATTAAATTAAATTTTGATTTTGACATTTATACAATGAAACGTACACTGGTCCTCAAAATGATTCCATTAATGTGACATCTTGCTACAAGTAAGAACTTGTGTGCTGAGATATTTTTATAGATACGCAGTGCATTGTTGCTACTAAATTCCACGTTACCTGCATTAAAAAACGACAATTCTAAACTTAATCGCATAACAGTAAGTTTTTGACAGTTTGGAGCTGGTAAATTTGCTCTTAGGCCAACTTATTCGACTTCAAGATCTACAATCTTGGACAAAAGAGTTGAGAAAATAAGGGAATTTAAAATCAAAAACACGATGGGAATAATTTTTTCATTAAAACGTTCTCTTTGYMCYCCCCCCCCCCCCCAAAAAAAAAMAATGTTGTAGGATAAAGGCAAGCATGTCCCATCTCAAGATTACAACATTGACTAGAGGGGGGTGGGGACAGTCAAGAAAATAACAAATGTAGTTGCATAAACGGCTATTTCTTGCGACATTAAAAAATTCTCAACTCTTTTTTTCCAAGATTGTAGATTCACTGTAAAACATCGCGCGCTTTAAAGGTTATAAATTTGATGTAAATATTATGTAAGTGTCTTAAATTCTGTAAATTTGATGTAAATGATTTCCATTAAAATTACAGAATTTTGGACACTTACATCATATTTACATCAAATCCACAACCTTTAAAATGCGCGATTTTTGCAGTGATTGTAAATAATGTAATTTTATACCTTTTGGTAGAATTTCTCGTCAAACCAGTTTTACTTATTACTTAGCCTTATAATAAAAGTTCTTTTTCAACATACAAGTAAGAAAACTGATTTTTAATAAAATAGTTGATTGATAACGACGCGGGAGATATCCTTTCAAAACGAAATTGAAGGTAACACCAATATCGTAGTCTCGTTGTCCGAGGTAACGAAAATGGTAACGGTTGGGGACGGTGTCAAATACATCACCGGGATCCTGGCGAATGCTGCGAGAATCAGCTGGACATCACACGTACTATCACTTTGAATTTCAAGCAAAACCAATATATTGTAAACAAACTGCAAAATCAATCCCTCAATACATAGACTAGAACCGTGTTGTGGGGCGTAAGCGATTTTACTCTGGAACAGGGTATCCACTTCAACGAATTTTCTCTCGAACAGGTCAGGGTTTAATTCCGGAATTATTGATGCTGGGTAAAAATTCACTGGGTAAAAATTCGGTCTACACGCAGGCTAGTGCTGGATTTTCTCTGGAACAGGATATCGTTTTCAGAGATTTTACTCTGGAACAGCCGTATAGTTTTCAGTGATTTCACTCTGGAACAGGATCAGGGTTTTGATTTCCCCCCCCCCGGGAACTAGACCAATAAACTAAAACAGAAAACAGCACATTTCAAGTGTTTACTTTAACTCCATAAACACATAACTCAGACCTTCTACTAAAACAAGATAAATAACAAATATAAGTAAACTCTAATAATGTGAATACATATGTTTGATGCACATAAATGTGCGTATATACTTGATATAATGTTCTGTTTACTGCACATGCGTCGGTAAACAATGTATTGGTAGCTATAGTAACAATGGTTACAACTTAAATCCTACTCCATCAAATATTAACTAGGGAGGGGTGGGTAACTTAAAATATGACAGACATGATATTGAATAAAACTCATTTATGTTAAATAGTTGCCTCTGCTTGAAAGGAAAATACACCATTACATCGCCAAAACAAGACTGCTGGGTGAGGATGACCTTTCAAGATGGGGAATGGAATTACTGTGAATAATAGATCAACCAAGCATTAATAAATCACCACTCAATTCAAAAACAAACAAAAATTCTTCTTCGACTTTTTAGTAGACAGACCAAATAAMTTAATATGCTGTTGTAATGTTGTCTTGCCATGGAGCCAGGTCTTTTCAACAATCAGCACTTGTCAGAGTCACTACGGTGTATATTTATCGGATCAGGAATCAGAGTTATTTTTTTGATCTTCTGTGATCAGGATCAAAGATAAGCTGTAAACAATTCACAGGATCACTTTGGCAATCAGAGATCAAATTTAGAAAGAAATTGGGATCATGAATTAAAACGAATATTTTGAACCCAAAATGGTCGATAAAATATACTCATTTGTAGTATACGAGTTGCCTGGACTTTTACATTAAAGTAAGACAGCTGCTGTTGAACTTAGGGACCGTTCATTTTTTATCGGGATGGGTCTTTGAAACGACTCCCAACCTTTTGATTCTTAAGAAATATGTTGTATTGTCTATTGAATATACAAGTAGCATATAGGAAAATAATTTTGCATCCCGACACGGCAGTTTCAATGCAGGACTTCGTCTTGTTCAGGCGCGACCGTCCTTCACAWGCCGGTGGCATCGCAGTGTATGTGAACAGCAAAATTCCCTGCAAACGCCTAGGTGSGTTTAATCTGTCGTCGGATTGTCTATCGGAAATTCTGTGGCTTCAAATTAGACCCGTCAGACTCCCTCGGACTGTTTCTGTTATACTCATTGGAACAATTTACCACCCTCCCAAAGCTAGTGCGGCAGATAATACCATTCTTTACCAGCACATCCAGTCTGTTGTTGATGACTATATGCGGGATCACCCAGAGGCACTTGTTTAGATTGTTGGAGACTTTAACCCGTCTTCCACAAATTTGTCCGCAACCCATATCAAACGTCTATGTGGTCTTACACAGATTGTTGATGTATACACTCGCGATACTAATACACTTGACTAGCCTGATTTTCAGACGGGGCCTGGGTCCTACGCTTCTCTCCGCCCCCAAACAACCGTCGGTTGTTTGGGGGCGGAGAGAAGCGTAGGACCCAGGCCCCGTCTGAAAATCAGGCTAACACTTGACTGGTGTTTGACAAATCGTCCGAAGTTATGTCCTCCACCAAAGCAATTACCAAAAATAGGTACCAGCGATCATTATTGTGTTATTGTTCCTCCAAGTGAACCTGTACCCAAATCACCCTTTGAAAAGATTGCTCGTCGTGACACGCGCGATAGCTGCTTAAGCAAAAAATAATTTTTCACAATTAGTTGGCTATTTCGTTTCAATCTTTCGTGGACCAGTTTTTACAACAAGTTTGATTACTTTCCCAAAGTTTAAGCCAAAACTATGAAGGCAGTCGAGAGATATGGGGTTGGTTGTCTTGAAACCTAGCCGTTAGGG